TGCTTGAACTGATTGGAAGGCTGTTCCTCCCTTCAGTTTAGGTTAAGGGTCGGCAATTAATTCTCCCAAGAGACCACATGAGAAACTGGGACTGTTGTGGAAGGCTGAACCAATAGGGCTGTGAATGTCTATAGGCACGCACACACATGTAAATTGAAAAAAAATAGCAGTTGCCTTCAAAATAAAAGCAATGCAATTATATTGAATGCTTGGCATACACTTATTTACATTCAATTTCTAATTTGTGATTGATTTCACACAGGCTGGATAGGGACAGCCAAAAGGCCAGTTGTGGCCCAGGGGCCATAAAATGCCCAGGTCTGATTTAGGTGAGCGGCTGCCCTACTATGTAGGGCTTTTTTTTTTTGTTTCCTCCACTGCTCAGATCTCCCCACCTTTTTATCTCTTGAAATAGGCAAAGCTTTTTTTCCCTGAAACTTCTTTTAATGACAATTGTATGTTCCTAAGGGCAGGGACTCTGCCTTTACTTGTCTCTTGCATATTCTGGGATACTTAAAAGCAGGATGCACATGGTACCCGAATGCAGGTGTTTGATGGAATATCATTTACCTAACTATAGACAAAATAGATGGCTGATTTAGCCTTAAGCAACTCACATGTATATGTTAGAGTGATATCCAGCTCTGTCTTCAAGAGATCAAGGTGGCTTATAAGGAGATTTGATTTTATCCAAACAACTACTGTGTGAGGTAGAGTAGGATATAGTTAATTCAAAATTTCCATACTTTTTTCCATGGCTGAGGACTATCTTGAGCCGAGGTGGTGCAGTGGTTAGAGTGCAGTACTGCAGCTACTTCAGCTGACTGCTAGTTCAACAGATCAGTGGATCAAATCTCACCAGCTCAAGGTTGACTCAGCCTTCCATCCTTCCGAGGTTGGTAAAATGAGGACCCAGATTGTTGGGGGCAATATGCTATTTAGTATACTGTCTTTGCTGTAAGCCGCCCAGAGTCCTCGGAGAGTGGGTGGCATAGAAATATGACTAATAAATAAAATAAATAAATAAATATCTTGAACCTGGGTCTCCCAAGTTCCATTCTGATACCTTAACTATCACTTTGGCTCTGTTGGTTGTATTTTACCAGTATTAAAAACAAACAGTTTTATCTGGAAATTTTATTCTTTCTATTGCAACTGTAGCAGCAGCAGAATACTTACCTGTTCCATGAGCTAAGCTAATTTATCTGTCAGCAAATAAAAGGGAGGCCCTTTTCTACTGTTCAAATACAAATGTAATTTTTATTCTTCAGAGCACATACAATCAAATCATAGCTCATATCTTCAAGAGAAAGGGTACAATTTATACAAATGTACCTTTTATAAATTTATGCTGTTTTGCACCTTATTCATGCCTTTAAACAAAATCGTAGCTACTCTTAACTATGACAACTTCATTTGAAAAACACCAGCTTTCCAAAAGAGAAAACAAGGTAAATTACAACACTTTTATTCATAAATCAGTCTACCTTCTCTCTATAGCAAGGTTCCAAATGGAATTTTAAAAAGGTCAGTCTACAGTACTTTTTTTTTAAAAAAAAGGCACAACACGTAATAAAATGTATGATAGCTATATCATTGCAATGCAACCTAAAATGCATGTATTTAGAAGTATTTAGAAGAGATGCAATACTAAAGCGAGATACAGATAGTTCTGAAGCATATTGTGTAGTCCTTGAAGAGAACTTATCAATATGCTACCTCTTTTCTTACCAATTCTGCTCACAAACCAAATTTTATTATTGCTAATTGTTGGAACAAATAGAAGGAAAAGCATGATCAGCAATAAGGTGGGCATACTCAACTACAGCGGCAATGGATGCAACCTTGGAAAACCTGGGAAGCCAGGTTAGAGAGAGATGTCATGGAGAACATCTATCTATATGGTGAGATTCCACACCAAAATCAGGAGGGTCAAACTGGCAGCCTGCAGGCTGAATGCGTCACGCACAGGCCACACCCACCCCAGCTCCGCGAAGGGGAAAAACATCGTGAAATGTCACATGACGGCAACATGACACGATGTTGACACCCGGGATACAGAATCCACCAATGTCGAGACAGGGCGAGAAGGTCCTTATCTGAAGGCCAGACAAGGAATAATGGATGGAAACTGAACAAGGAGAGATTCAACCTGGATAAAAGGAGAATTTTTCTGACAGGAAAGCAATCAACCAATGGAACAGAAGTTGCCTTCAGAAGTTGTGGGAGCTTCATCACTGGAAGCTTTCAAGAAGAGACTGGACTGCCATCTGTCAGAAACGGTGTAGGGTCTCCTGCTTGGGCGGGGGTTGGACTAGATGACCTACAAGGTCCCTTCCAGCTTTGTTAATCTGTTAAAGATCATTTACCGCACAGCAAGGCTCTAGGAATTTTTACTAGCCCCCTTCACTACTGGCCTTCACCTATTGTTTGCTCTACCGTAGTTTACATTTTTTTTAATAGGTCACCATTCAACTTGCCACTCCCTGCAAAGAGAGGCGCAGCCGCTAAGCTACTGTATTGCTGGGTACTTAAAACCTCAGGAATCACCGCCGCAGACATTTATGCCAGTACTAACGGGGAACCTCTAAGGAGACCAAGAGGACTGCAGCAAGGACAACAGCATGGGGAGGTGCTACCCACACAGGTTGCCTGCCACTGGAGGCCGAGACGGCTGCGAGAACATTTCTTCCCCCCCCCCCCACCCCACTCCCCCAAAGCTGTTTCGGTTTAGCCCGGGAGAAGAAGCGAAGAAGGGCCTGGCACCGCCCGCGAGCAGCGAGAGGAGGGCCCAAGGTGCGCCCGTCCCCCTTTCCTCCCCTCCGGCTGGATAAAGCCCGGGCGGGTCCGGTGGTTTTCGCTGCTACGACCACCTCCAGCGGGATTCAGAGGAGGCCGTCGAGGAGCGCGTGACGCACCTCCTTCCCCCTCCCTCCGCTCTCCCGGAGAACAAAAGAAGAATTCTTTGCACAGGTTTGTGGGCACACAAGTAACCTGAGGTTTGGCAGCCTCCCAGGTATTCTCTTGCTCAGGAAACTTGCATACCGATTTTTTTTTTAAGTCCCTAAAACAAATCATCTGGTAGGGAAGCCTCTGTCGCTCTAGAAAGGGGGGAGGCGAGCCGCAGCGACCCCCGGAGGAGAATTTCCCCCCTGTCCGGGTTCGCTTATACAGCATTTCATTAATTTCTGGGCCGGTCTTAGTAATAGGTGCAAATTAAGGGCAAACGCGAAGTTTTTTTTTGTTGGCTTCCTTCCACCTGCTTTATTTGGCAAAAAAGGGGTGTGACCTTATACAGGTTTATTTGAGCCTCTGTTATTCTCTGCAAATGATATTGCAAGATTGCCTCTTTTCTCCGAAAATGGAGGCAGTTTCCATTCTTTAAGCAATCCTATTGTGCGGTCTCTCCCTTAAACTAGGCATTTCCAAATCGGTGGCACCTCTCTTGCTTGTGTGCTCAAGACCCCCTTTGATTATTAACTCTGCCCATCTAGACCTGTGTGGTCTAGATTCTAGGCACACAGGTATGGCTTTTTGGCAGGATAATGGTAATTATCCTTGCCATCTTTGGATTTGTGAAGGCAGCACACCTACTCGGCATTAAGGAACTGGAACCTGCCTCTTAAATTGATATTTGGTTCAAAGCAGTTGGCTGTACCCTTTTTTCAAGAAAAGGTCCAAAGAGTACCCCCCAAAAAAAAACCCCAACCCCCACCTCAAAGAATTTGATATACCCCTAAGTGTCAATGGAGCAAAGCTGAACAGGACCAAAAGTAATGCATATAGAAATTGCAGGGACTTTTCCCACAAGATCAAAGGGAAATCCAGCAACTCTGGCCCTTTAAGAACTCCTCCCTACCCAATCTTCACATTCCCTGTCTTTCCTCTTGGGCATTTGTTTGGAACCGATACAGGATCTCTCCCGTGGCAGCTCCAACTTGGAACAGCTGGAAGACTACATCCCCAGCTAAGTATCCCCCCAGTTGGAATTCAGCTGCCAGCCAATACTCTGGCTTTCCCAACTCCTTTTAGTTTGACCCTCCCACTGTAGGAGTGTGAGAGAAAAACCTTTGCTTGTTTCATTCAGACCAGCTCCCTTTCGCATCATAAGAAATATGCCAGGCTCCCTCCATTAACTGAGATTCTCCCTCTCCCACCCTCTGTATGGCAGCTACCTGGCTGAATTCCCAAGCAGAGTTCTCCAATTTCATCAGTGCCCTATGTTAGGGATCTTGCAAGATAATCTGTACAAGATGCTCCTTACCTTTCAAAAGCATAACAAACCATAAGCATTAGATAGCAGTATAGCTGGAATACACTGGAAATGAGAATGCCAACACAACTTTTTTTCCTTCAGTATTTGAGAAATAAAAATCAGTGGTTATAAGTATATCAATCAAAGAAGGACAAACGGGTGTCACAGCATCAACATTATGTTCTCATGTAATACGATATTGATAGCTTAACTTAAAATCTTGGCTTGCAAAAAAAAAAGGTTTTCTACTTCCGACAAACAGGCTGTAGGTGCATTTTTTCCATGTTAGGAGAAAATGAAAAGGCCACATGGACTGTATTTACCCAGACTGGACAACCATAAACAAGGCACTTCCAGGAGCAGCTGTTTGACAATTATGATGATTAAAGTCTAATTGTATTAACACTTTCTGGGGAGTAAATCACATTTAATTTCCTGGGAATTCCAAGTAAACATGCATAAGATTGTATTGTTTTTCTAAATATTGGAATCAGTAACTTCCCCCCCAGAGAATAATTCTTTCAGGATTTTTTTCCCCAAGATGTCAGTTTAATTTAATGGGTCAGAATTAATTTCTGCACTCTATAAGGGAAAAAGTGGGGATATCCTGTGGAAACTCTTTTGCGCTGACCTCTTGCTGGTAATTACCTACTTGTGTTTCCTACCCTTTGCATATACTTTTATCATTACTTTGATGTTCATCAGGAGGTTTTTCTTACTATTTTTTTAAAAGGCAAGTACTTACCTCACTGCTGATGAGTGGCAGGTAACAGAGAGACACGAAAAGCAGTCCAAAATTCATGCCGACTCCAATCCCCAAAAGTTCCAGACACATTGAAGGAGAGTCTTTTTTAAAAAAAAATAAAATAAAGAATGGATTTCCCCAGTTCAGGCAGACTTGAGAGTGAGGATCTGCCCTTACTGTAATTGGCTATATATCAAGTGTAGAGTCCTTCACTGTCTCATTTCAGTCCCCATAAACTTTCTCCCCAAAAAAATAATACATACTCTTAAGGAGAAAAATTAACAGTTCCAGAGTGGAAGGGCTTGATTACTAGTCTGCCTTCTCTGTAGAGAAGAAAAAGGTATTTGTAAAAATAAAAATTTAGTCATGTCCCCATCAAAATCTTAGCCATCCAAAATCAGTCTCTTCCATCTACATACCCCTAGTAGTGCAGTGTAAGGTCGGTTTCCCTAGATTTGGCAGTTCACATGAAATCAGGTCCTCTTAAAAGATTCTTTAAAAAAAGTCTGCTGGCAAAAGCAAAATTATTTAGGCTGCTTCTTCAAAGCATTAAACTTCAACCATTGAAAACCATACAGGGAGAATGAAGATCTTCAAGTCCCTCATTTTGACTTACACTAGCCCTTTGCTTGGAATCATTTGGCTGTGCTTCCCCGCCAGCCGTCTTTCCATAGAGCAGTGGTAGCCTTGGTCGAGGAAGAGTTTTGAGGCTTCAGTTGTTATGTTTGCAGACAGGTGAGCAAATGGTTCTTGCTGCAGCAAATATGTGTGTAAAGTCTTGCAAAACCTCCTAGAATTGCTGCAGTTGCTCTCGCTGATCCTTGCACTCTGTTGCAGCAAGGAAGCAAAAGGTCCGCGCTCTGGTGGAAGCAGACACAGCACCAAGGAGAGAGCAAGTTTGGGTCTCAATTTTAGTCTGCAAGAAAATAAGGTGCTAGTATTACAGTTCCTTCTTTTAAAGGAGATGAGGGGGAGGGAGTGGGGGAGGAGAGGGGGAGGAGACAGGGCTGCCAGAAACTCCTCTCTTGGCTATGAATCAAGGGAAAAAAAGAGAATTTAGTCTCAGTAGAATTTTTCAAAATCTTTAGCTAACAAACACAGTGCGAATGGAGAAACACCTCTGCTTTCTGAAGAGAGAACCTGGGAGATTCTGTTCCTTCAGGGCAAAGAGAAAAGGGGGAGGATAGTTCTCAGGATAGCATTGCTGTGTTGTATTTTTGGCTCCTAATATTCTCTGTTGAAGCATAGGTACTTGGCGACAAGATTAATATATGTTGTTCTAGCTCTGCCACTTCAGTGAATCTAAAAAGAAAGAGCTTGAATATCTTTGATCTGCCTGCAGAAGCAGCTAAAAGAAAGCCAAAAAGATATACATGATATTAACAAAAGAATCTACCGAAGTTGGCACATATCATTGCCTTCAGTGCTGGAAGGCAATTTGTTGTTATAGTAATAATTTCCAGAATGTAATAAACATCCAAGCTTCGGAAAATTGAACAGGAGACATTTACTGAGGGAAGTTGGGGTAATTAGTTGTTAAATGAAAACAAAACGAGAGTCAACATTTTTTATTAAAATAAAAGCATAGCCCATCATGGTATGGAAACTATATTTGATGTTATTTCTTTTCTACTCGCATTCCAAATCCCTGCTCAAGAGGATTAATTCAGTTTATACACGTTAAGCCCTAATATGGGTTTATTTTGGCTTATGATACTATATATTATGAAAATCCAGCCAGTAGCTATCCACTTGCAAACCAGAGTGATTCGTTATGTTATGGGAAATGAGCCAATGGTGGTTTCCTTAAACCGCAGATTAAACCACTATATATGAACTTGGTCATAAAAAGCAATTGTAGACTCTGCTCTTATAACATAATGCTGGTCATAACCTGTGCATCTAAATTCCCTCTGGTAAATTTGCTAAGATCCTTTTCTGCTGCGTCCAGTTTTGTAATGTTCCCCAAGAATAATTTGTTACACTGCAAATAAATACATTGAATAAATAAATTTGGTGCCTTTTTGCAAACTTGAGGCTTTCCTTGATCTATAATCTAACTTAGTATTGTCTGCTGCAACAGCTGCTGCTCATGCAGAACCTCTCTAAGTGCATCTGTTCAGACTCTTTAAACTCAAGAGTGTCCAGGGTGGGGGATTCCACATACAATATGTATGCTGTACTATTGGGCTCTGACCATTCTGCCTGTGAGATCCAAGGTGCTGTTGCTCATTATTTTTCTGGCAGTTTCATGATGTTTCAGGGCAAGTGATTTCAGAGCAGCCCCCCCCAGCCAAGCCCCCACTGGTATTTTTAAGACCAGACATATGCACATAAATTTTATATTATAAAGCTTCTCAGCATTGGAACGAGGCATGAAGTCTCTGCTGTAAAAGATTGATTAGATGCAGAAACCAGGCAGCATTGCTGCCAACCACTTTGTTGCTCTTTAAATGGAACCATTTTTACCCTGTCATTCCTTTTTCAGCAGATGTCATCCTAAATGTTTTCTCATCAATATGTCTGGATCTGAGTGCAAGCGAGCGTATTCCAGTAGTTCTGCCTTCTCTCTCCTGTGAAATGATGTAGCTACCTACATCTCCTTCCACTGGATGTTAAAAGGGCCAGGCCACCCATTAGCAGTGAGCCATCCTGAGGATGATCATCTTAGAGATGTGGTGCTATGGCATCCAACAGACTCACTGAGAGGGTTTATTTATAATAAAGACAAACTGCATAAGAGCAACACAGAAAAAGTAGAACGATTTTGATGGTAGCCTGAAGAATCCATCTATTAATCAATGGTTCTCAGGATTATGATTCTCCACTATGGATGTTCCTAAAGATTTGCAGGAAAGGGTCAAGGGTGAAACAGCTGGAAGCTAATGGATTATATAGTGCTTATTTGATAGGGGGCAGTATTTAGTCCAGATGTTCCTCTTCATGTGTAGATTCATAACAACTCAATAAACCAATTCCTACGGTACAGCTCAGACATAATATATAATAAGTGGCATAATACAAGCCCCCATTCTCCTTCTCTATCAACACATTGACTCTTGTAAGATCATAGAATATGCTCTAATGTCAATTTATATCTTGGGATTTAGACATTCTTTACAAGGCAGAAACTAACGTGGCAGAGAACAAAGCCAAGTGAACGGAGAATCTGCAGCTGTGGCAGGAGTTCAGTTGTCAACATCAGTTGCCCATTTTGTTAAAGCTTTGGGATTGTCCTGTTACCTATGTAAAACTCCAGGACATTTTGTTTGTGTATTAAGGTTTTTCTTAAATGCTATTTATGTGAGCCATTCATTCTTTAGTAGGCTGTATTGTGACTTCACATACATAACATCTAGAGTTGCCCAGGATTCAGAGATTTGCATGATCGTACATGTCATAACCGGGTGCATAGCTGCTTCATAGAACCTCTGATTGTGGAACGAAGCTCAGAAGGAAAACTCTGCAGTAACATAAGAGGTTGGTTTTGCACTGTAAATGAACACATTCATGGCTTGCTTAATTATACTTTGATGAATAAACCAAAATGTGCTGAGCTCAGTCTCCCCCCCCACCCCCAAACTCTTCAGCTGCAAAGTAGCTTCACTCCCAGAATTTCCCATTAGCAATGTTTGTTAGGAATGCTAAAAGTTGTAATCTTACTATGTTTGGGAAACATTTCTAGTATTTTGACCTTGAGAAAATTATGTTGTCTTCAATTTGCATTTTAGTACAGTAAAAAAGCTCCAGCTGGCCATCACAATGATTGCTATTTAAAGTATGTAAACGATACAATTGGCACGTTTAGTTCCATGCAGTTTTGCTTTGAGTTGTAGAAGAGAATCTTGGGTCATTTAATTTCTCACCACTTTGCCCCAGCTGCAGTGGTTAAATTTTATGTACTTTTAATAGGCATTTAGGATGAAGAGATGACTAGCTTTCCAAGCATTGGAATATCCCCTAGAGGTTACAGTGGAAGGGATTCCCTCCCACCCACCTCCTCCAGAAGGAAAGAGCAGCTGGTTTATTGCCCACAAATATTGGATATTTCACAGTACCGGAGAGAACATAGCCCTTCACAGAAAAACAAAAAGTTTCCTTGACCTTGCTTGAATATATGTTTAGCTTGAATTATTGATGTATTTCCATGTTTATTTCCTAAGTTGTGGGCATCTTCTGATCAGCAATGATAGCACCGCAACTTCCAGAAGTCCCTAAAACCTAATTCTAAATAACAACAAAAAAACAAAACTTTTTAAAAATGTTTCCTTACATCGCATTCCTGTGGACCCACTGAATGTAGTAGGACTAAATTACTTTTAAATTCAACTTTATCGGACCACACTGTTAAGCATCTAGACATATTTCTCTAATCTTCATAAGTGTATGCCACCAAGATCAGATGAAAAACTATTTTTTCATGGTGTGAACTTCATAATCCCTTTTAAGTACATCAAAGTGAGAATGTGCAGAGTCTAGGGTCAATATAGTAGGAAGAGTGATATTTGTGGCATGAAAATCCCAAGTTTTGTTTTGTAAGTCTTTGGCGCACTGTCTTTTCCATATCCGGCTAAATTACGTGAGATCTAATATAGGGGAAAAGGTTATTTATTTATACTTGGATGATGTGTGGCAGAATTTTTAGAATCATAGCTTTAAAGGCAAGCTAAATCTTAGCAATTCAGACAGTGAGGAAGAGGATGTTTAGAAAAAGACCTACAGTTCTGGATGGGTCTTGAGGTAAATACAATTCAAAGAGCTTAAGCTTTCTGTGGCTATTTATTTATGTATTATTTAGTGACTGTGTTCAGAATATAAAAGTGGATATTTATTGAACATGAGAATAAAATACATCATCATTACCTGTAGGAAGATAGATGCTAAAAATCAGTTGTTCTTGAAGAGTATATTGTAGCTTCTCCAAAGCAAACTTCTCAAATCTGGTAGGTTCTATTTGGATGTGTGTGTGAAATTTTAGAGCAAATGTGTCAACGTCTTTTAGCCTAAAGTCCTCACATGGCCAGGAGGTTAGGCCAAAGACATGGACAGAGTCAGGGGAAAAATAAATTTAAAAATAAAAAATAAGTAAATTAAAAAATTAAAAATAAATAATTTTTATATAATTTGATTGTAAATCAAGTTTATAATTTTGATTACTCCTATATACTTTATTTCTTCTTACCTCATATGAAAATAGAATTTTATGCCAATGGGGAACTCTAGGAACTGCATGTTAAACTACACCAGCTATATGTAGTAATAATAATAATAATAATAATAATAATAATAATAATAATAATAATAATAATAATAATTTTATTTATATACCACCATTCTCCCAAAGGACTCGGGGCGGTGTACAGCCAAGATTAAAATATAAATATACAATATCATAGTTAAAATTAATTAAAATCATTAAATAGTTTTGGCCGAATTTTAAAACCCAATATTAAAACCCAATTTAATGGGTTTGTAGAAGTTATATTAAGACAGAGTTTCTCAGGACCAATATGTTGGTTATGTGGTAGAGCCGTGGTGGCGCAGTGGTTAGAATACAGTGTTGCAGGCTAACTCTGACCACTAACCGGCTCAAGGTTGACTCAGCCTTCCATCCTTCTGAGGTCAGTAAAATGACAACCTAGATTGCTGGGGGCAATATTCTGACATTTGTAAACTGTTCAGAGAGTACTGTAAAGCACTATGGAGTGATAGTTAAGTCAAAGTGCTATTGCTATCTCAACAGCCATTGGTCACTAACCTCAAGACTAAGAAACTCAAGACAGAATGTCTATTAATTTGTGGAACAGGCCGGGTAATGAAGTGCCAAAATGAAACAACTCCAGGTATAAGAAAGTCTCCTCTTTTATGTTGACAGAGAGTGTTATAACTTAAAGATTAAGTTTTATATACAATATAAATTCTTATGTAGTCTGACATGACAACTATTTGGATAGCTTCTGCCAAGTTTAAGCCAGAGGATCTGACTTCACATGTGTTTCTGAGACCCAGACATTTGTAGCTAGCTACAGTGATGCCAAAACGACAAAATGTGTGTCAGGACATCACAAAATAAGCTCTGCCCTTTCATACTTGTGAGTCTGCATGCAAGTATGTAGAAGGCACAATTTCTGACACAACATAGGTGTTGTCAGTTGGCACCTACTTGTTCTCCCACTGCAGGTGCTGACACATCAGGTTGTGAAATCTCTTCTAGAATATCACAGTTATAGCTATAGTGAAAGCAGATGATAGAATCTCTTGCAGTTGAAGTCCACATAAATGAAAATGTGTTTTTTCAATCCAATATTGTGGTTTGGTTGCTACAACTAATAACCCCCCCCCCATGCTTCTAGATAAGGTATGTGGAGGTGATTAAGATAGTGATCACATTAATACTCTTGAGCAACCTATTCCAACCTGGTATCTTCCAGTTGCTTGGATTATAACTTTCATAATCTTCATTTAGACAACCTATAGCTGGAGATGAAGAGTTATATAAACTAGGAGCTCTGGAGGACAATGGGCTGGAGGAAAATGAGCTCCTGCTTAGAAAACTGCATTTTAAAGAAGTGTGGAATATTGGCATGTTGGATTAAGAGATTAAAATATCTTGGCACTGAGTAATCTGTTTTTGTGCTGAAATCTAGATCCTGGAAAAATGAAGGAAGGCTTTGGGATCCAAAATCTTTCCAGATGTTAAAGGAGATGGGCATTTGGAGCAATGTGCCATAGCATGGCAGAATCTGTCATTCAGAGTTTCTGTTTCTACGTCATTCATCTGACATGAAAAGATTTAGCAGAGAAATAAATTGACTTGCACACACCTAAAACTTGTATCTTTAATTCTACTTTACAGATTCAACAGGATATTTAGGTTGGTGTTAGGGAATTCTTCCTTAATATAGTGAGAAGTCATTTTTGCCTGTCCAGCAACAGAAAACATCACAAGGATCAGACACCAAAACTATCTCAAGCCCACTTGAGAACCAATGACCCATATGAACTAAAGCAATTGGAAAACCAATTTCAATTTCTCGGAATGGATTTGGAATTCCAGAAGGGGAAAAATATTTTAAAGTGGAAATGGAGAGAGAGGAGAAGAGAATTGGAGTATGAGAAACAATTTCGAAGTTTGGAACTGGAGAGAATGATGGAATGATGCTTATCAGTTAGGAACTGAGAGGTAAACAGAGGAACATCAATCCAACATTTCCCGCTGCTCCTAAGGAAAACTGGCAAGTTTCCAAGGTGAAATTAGTTAAGTGAACTTTACTATTGTGAGCCTTACCAGAATTTGAGGGTGAAGTTTTATCCATGAGAAAGGGGGATGTCCCTTATGTAACTACTGTATGTGGGTAGCATATCTTTTCCTTGATACATTTTGGAGGTGGTGTGAGGGCCAGTGGAATATATTTTCCATTTTATATCAGCTATATTTTCGGAGTGTTTAGTTTTCTCCTCTTGAGAATGTAGAGGATATAGTGGCCGTTGCATCACCACAGTGGTGGCATGTCTCCACCCCCCACTCCCTTTCCAGAGTTACTGAAGGATGAGATTGCATGTAATAGTTTTGTGGATGTAGAAGGAAAACACAATGCCTATCAAAAGTGAGGAGAAGAGAGGAGAGGAGGAGTGAAGAGAGGAGGAGAGTTTTCCTCAAATGTATCTTCTGCTCTCATGTCTCCCTGTTTTCATCAACAAAGAATTAACAGCATTCCCCCTTAGAAAGTTATGTATGATTCTACTTTCATTTTTCTCTTTCAAGCTTCAGGACAGAATGGAACTCTTCAACCATGAAGAGCATTCGCTCAAACAATTTTCTATCACTGCTAGTTATTTCCTGTTTTGATGGAATGAAAAAATACCCAATTTTCCTTCTTTATTTTTCCAAAGAGCCAAATAACACTGGAAAAGAATATCTCCCACCTGCTCTCCTTTCTATATTAATCCGAATATAACAATAATTTATGTTATTTGTGTGTGTGTATGTTAATTTCTAATGTACATCACATGCTATTCCTTTGGGATCTTAGCATATTAATCTTCTTGATTTGGGGGGAGGAAGTATTTAACTTCCCTTTTTCCAGTCTGCATCACTCTCCTACTCCTTCTACCCCCATTCTTCGTATTTGTATTCTGTAGAAGCAGCTGAAGAAAGGAAGCCTGCTGTACAAGAGTAAAAATAGATCCGGCAGTTACTCAGCTCCTGAGAACATGATGGTATGACTCACGAGGTAAAATAAAGAGATGTGAAAATCAAAAGCTGTTGCATTCCCCCCAAGCATTACACACATATCCCCCCTCATTTTTCCTCCTACCTGGAGAAGTTTGTGGCACCTGAAGTCTAAAAAAACCCAAAGGAAAACAAATTGTTGAAGTTCCAGGTAAAAGCAACTGGGTTGGAAACCCTAAAATCAGGGGTGAAATCCAGCAGGTTCTGACAGGTTCTGGAGAATCAGTAGTGGAAATTTTGAGCACTTCGGAGAACCGGTAGCGGAAATTTTGAGTAGTTCGGAAAACCGGTAAATACCACCTCTGGCTGGCCCCAGAGTGGGATGGGAATGGAGATTTTGCAGTATCCTTCCCCTGCCACACCCACTAAGCCACACCATGCCCACCAAGCCACGCCCACAGAACCGGTAGTAAAAACATTTGGATTTCACCACTGCCTAAAATCCATCTACCATATATTTCTATACTCCGCTTTCCTGCAAATTCCATGGTGTCTTGGAGGAAATCATGGATGAAAGGATTCATTTACTTTTGTTACAGGGTCCTTTGTAATTAAACCAATGGTTGTTAGGATGGGCACTTACTGGGCCCACTTACCTGTCCCTGTATATTTTGTCTTGGAAATGTAGAAGATTATATGCCTTACTTCCAATTCATGGAGGTTTTATGCCTTTGTTTGTCAAACTCGGCAACTTTAAGATGGATAGATTCCCAGAATTCTCCTGCCAGCATGCCAAATTTGAAAAACAGTTTTACATTGTTTAATTGTATGTTTCAGAGGACTGAAGCAGTAGAAACATCCTTTTATATTCACACAAAACTGCTGCACTCTGGATCACAATTATAGTACCTTTTAAAAATAAGTAACTATGACTAATAACTAACATGAAAATAAGTTTGCAAATTTGCAGGACATATTTTACCATCTCAAAGTCATATGTACCTGGAGAGCTTCATATTATTAATGTAGTTTTCCTTTTTTTTTTTTTAGTTTTAAAAACAAACTTTAATAAGTTTAAAAATTTGAAAACACAAAAATATACAAATTTTTCTCAATCATAAAATTACATATACAATACACAACCCCACAAACAAACTAAATATATGTAATTGTATGTACGACATATATAAATAGTTTTCCTAATGTGGTGCCCTCTATGTGAATTGAATACAGTTCTATAACAGGCAACCTGGTGCATGGGTCTCCTCCTCTTCCCCCTCCCCGGATTGTTTTCTTTTGGTATGGGCACTGATTAAAGGTCTGAACCTTTTGATTATTCTATAAACTAAGCCATAACTTATCTAATGATAATGTATTGAATTAAACTTGGTAGAAGACACTAAGTCATAATTCCTATTTTACAAACTGCATCGCCATCATATATCAAAATACTATATTTCAGATGCCTCTGTGAACCTAACTATTATTATATGCTGGTTACATTTTTGTCCTTTTCTGATGTTTTCTCTCTCCATGCACCTTCTTCCAGAGGTCTTGCACTACAAAACTTCCCAGCCCATATAAGTTTGCAACCCATGCAAATAAGGATTACAGTACACAGTTGTCACGTTTTTACTTTTTGCATTTTCTTTTCTTTCTTGACTTCAGAAATCCACCTTATTTTTTGAAACACTTTTAGAAACTTGAAGATTTGCAACCCCTTTCATAAACGTATCTCAACTTCCCTTAATAGAGCCTGTAGTACAGTGGACTAAAGCACTGTAATTAACATCTGCTGCTTGCAATTACTGCAAGTTCAAATCTCACCAGGCTCAAGGTTGACTCAGCCTTCCATCCTTTCAAAGGTAGGTAAAATGAGGACCCAGATTGTGGGGGCAATAAGCTGACTTTGTATCAATATTCAAAAGTATGAAGGCTATTGCTTAACGCATTGTAAGCCGCCCTGAGTCTCCGGAGAAGGGCGGCATATAAATTAAAGCAAAAAAAAAAAAAGGCATTTGCATTAATTAGGAATTTGGATTTATTTTCCCCCTGTATGACTAATAGAGATAATTCTGCTAATAGACTAATAGAGAAATCCTGTCTCCCATACATTCAGCCCTTAATCTTCCTTGTGAGAAGCAAAGTAGCCTTTTTGAGATATAGTCATCTTTCAGTAAGTTCATCATTCCAGAGTCATTTTCACACCATCCTCAATTACACAAATGAAATACCTCTGCTGAGAGTAACAATACTGAACTTTGTCTGTAAATCCAGTGAGGATTCCATCTATCCCTATATATTCTGTGTACATTCGGTTGATCCTTTGTATCTTTCAAGTGATCTAATCATCACTTAACATTTTTTCTTTGGTGAGTCTGGCACTATTTTTTGTAGCTGAAGAAATGAGATCCAATTTGTTCTTCTGATATTACAGCTAAAATGTAAGCTGGTAAAGAGACAACTTTTCTACCTTCTGCTCCACCTGAATCCTTTTTAGCCATTTTGAGAACAATAGCCCAACGCATTCAGCACTTCCAAGTAGATCATCTGCTCAAACAAACTGCCCCAAATGCACATCCATCCCATTGGAGTGGGCTAGCATGTCTTACCTCTCCCTCCCTGGCTCCCTGGGCCCAGACAAAGTGGCATCTCTGCAAACAAAGACTTTCAATAGCTGTCCTGCCCTCTGCCCTCTCCCAAACAATGCAAAGTTACAGAATATTGTCCACAGCTGAGTAAAAAGCCCTAAATATAGAACCTCTGATGTATTCTTGGTTTCCTGCCTGTCGGGCGTCCATCTCCCCCCCACTTTGCTATTGGCTATACTGTCACTAATCTCACACACTCACAACTAACACAAAGGGAGTGAGATCACCAAGACCACCTCCTCTCCACCTTAGAGACATAGGGGATTTCCAAAGTTTTGCCCTTGCTTTTAAGCCAGAATTGGAGTGGGAATAAATGTCACCGGGCACAAGTACTGCATGCAAGGCAAGCTCTCTCTCAAACAGGGAGCCTTTCACTCCTCTTCCTCTGCACCCGTGTTTAATTCTGGACCACCCACATAGTCCTGCCACGTGGCCTTTAAGGTCTGTGCTGGATCTCTGCTCCATTCTGTCAAGCCACGTTTGCTTTTTTTCCCCCTTCCTGTTATTGTACTCAAGTTGACATTGACAAATCTGTCATACCAATTTGAACTTTCCTCTACTACAGTGGGGCATGCAGGTAATAATATCAAGGAATAATCATTTCACCCATAGCTCTAATCCCTAAGGCTACTATATACAGGCAAAAGTAAACTCGGTATCGGGATCACACGTCACACTAAGCCAGAAAGTGTTTTGTTTAGTTTTGAGGTAGTATAGATGAGTCCAACCATTGACTTGATGCTCAGCATGTGCCAACTGTCATTCGTTCAACAAATTGTTATTTTGGAAAAAAAAATGACATTGTTTAAAGTGAAAATTCAGTTTATGAGTATAATTTCTTATTTACTTGGCAATAGGCTGAGAGTGCCCCAAAGACGTCTCTGTAGAGAGATTAGAAAATAACCTGCTAATGGATATCTCTAGTTTGAAACAGCAGAAAATATTCCCTAAAGACGGTCTGAAAAATTCATCATATGTTGAAAAACCCAAATAGAAGGAATTCAGTTTTTGTTGTTTCTCTGCCTCTGTTTTTGTTAGGTGATTTTATTTGAACAAAAGCACAAGTGAAAAATCAGACCACACCTTTATAATTACCGTAATTACAACAAAGGTTGTTACAAAGATGGATTTAGCCCTACACAATTTATTATTTGCTGGGTTGACTCAGGACTTCAGAGATGAGCATTCTACTTCATTGGGAAGTCAGTTTCCCAAAGATGTTTGGGAAAGATGGCTTTCATTTAAATCGGACACACCCCTTTTGTAAAACTGAGAATAATTACTTAAAAGAGCGGTGGGCCTACCTACAAATATCCAACAGGAGGTCCACATGGCATCTTTCTAATTACTCTCTCTTTAATGAAGCTGTGTCTGTTCCCTGTCCATCGCCTTTTCCCCGATGCTGGTTTCGGAAGAAAATTCTCATTACAATATTTCCCACATGCAAGGCTGCATGTTTACAGAATTGGCATAGGATTGATCCAAGATTGTTAGATTCTGCATTTCAGGGCTGAAGGGAGTTCTGCTAAGGTTTAAGGTTGGCTATGGAACCTACAGTGGTTGCCGCTGAATAAAGAAAACAGCATTATGACATAAGAAGACAATCTCCGCCCCTTTGAGGTATGCATGCAACATTGCAGTGCAGGTAAAAAAAAGGGCACAGCCTGCATGTGATGATGCTGCAATGCTCCCGATATCAGGCTGCCGGCCTTGTCTCTTCTCTTGCCACAGATGCTGCTGTGTCTATGTAAATTTAATTGAGACGGTTGAGAGAAATGCTGCTTTAATGGAAGAGGGGGACTTTAGGGATATGTCTATCTCTCTCTATATATATCTACATACTAATGAACTTCTGAAATATGTACATTCGCACACACATGCACACACAGAGTATGTATATGCATCATACATACAGTAATATATATGTGTGTGTATGTATATGTATGTATGTATATGTGTATATACATATATTCTGAGTTCATAGGTTCTGTGTATGCAGTGGGATGCAGACTTGTGCATATTACATGGGTAATTGCATAGGTAATTCTGTGCTCTTGGTGGCTGAACATGACCCCCACTGATAATTATATTGCCAAGTCAGTAAATTATTCAGAGCGTCGTATGTACCATTGAGCGTGACTGCATCCATGATGCAGATCACTTTCTATGGATCAAGGGTAATAATGCATGAGAATGCTGGAATTGAGGTATCAGTATGTGAACCAAGTGCTAGAACATTAGAGCTATTTGCAATTTTGTCCATATTGCTTGTGGAATTCATTTACAGATCATTGAAAGATGACTCTTTACATATCTAAAATAATCATCCAAGCCATGGCTACAAAGTAAACATGTTTCAAAGCACTGTTGTTCATGGGAGTGTTAAATCAATACTTCATTGACAAATGTACCACCAATATTTTGCAGTTACAGAGGAAAAGACTTTGATGGAAAGGACTTAGTCTGTAGTACTCCCCATCTTCTTTATCGTGACAGTTTTTCTGGTGACGAAAAATGGATAGAAAATTTGTATGGCTGGAGGCAGGGGTGAAATCCAGCAGGTTCTAACAGGTTCTGGAGAACCGGTAGAGGAAATTTTGAGTAGTTTGGAGAACCGGCAAATACTACCTCTGGCTGGCCCCAGAGTGGGATGGGAATGGAGATTTTGCAATACCCTTCCCCTGCCAAGCCCACCACGCCCACAGAACCAGTAGGGAAAATTTTTTTATTTCACCCCTGGCTGGAGGGTATTACTTTAAAAGGGGTGCTTTGGAAAGCATGTGAGTGAAGCACGCCTCCTTGAAGCATACTGTACATGCATAGACAGTAGTCCTGGAACCGGCTAAGACACTGAGATTGTTGATCAGAAAGGTTGGCAGTTCAGCGGTTCAAATCCCTAGTACAGGTCTCATGTGTGAGCAGGGGGTTGGACTAGATGACCTCCAAGGTCCCTTCCAACTCATTGTTACTGTTACAGTAATGAAACAAAGTGCCTATATGTGCAATAAATAGGGAAACCTTTGAAATAGTAGCTCTGGGTTTTCCAGAAGATAAGGCTGCTTTAATGTTTGAAGGTAGGGGGGCGGGATGCTTTGCTCATGCTACCATTGCAGCATCCCATGGTCATGTGATCAGACTTCCAGGGCTTGACAACTGATATGTATTGACAACAGTTACAGCATCCAAGGGTCATGCGATCACCATCTGCAACCTTCCCAGCCGTTTTCTGATCAGCAAAACCAAAAGGGGGGAAACCAAATTTGCTTAACGGCCGATATTGATTTGGATAACAACCATGGCAAAAAAATATATGGTTGTAAAATCAGGCATATAACTCACTTAACAAAGTTTGCTTTGTTGGAAATTCTGATCCCATTGTGGTCAAAAAAGGAAGACGACCTGTAAAGCAAATCATTTACTAAAATAACTGAGTAATTCATAGCCCCGGGATTGCATTAGGCCAGGGGTCTCCAACCTTGGCAACTTTAAGCCTGTTGGACTTCAACTCCCAGAATTCCCCAGCCAGCTTTGCTGGGAGTTGAAGCCCAACAGGCTTAAAGTTGCCAAGGTTGGAGACCCCTGCATTAGGCTCCTGAGTCACCCAAATTGCAGTTCCATTTTTAGCCATAAGTGGGAACAGATAAAAACTCTGATGTATTGCCCTAACAAAAACAAGAAACAAAAGGCCCTTTCCATATGCATTCCTACATAATAGTTTTTCCAGATTCACTCTCACCCATATGTGTGATAGCCCCCACTACTCTTCATTAATGTAGAATGTGGTCCTTGACTCCCCAATTGTTGTCCATTCTTTTCTTGACAAGTCTACTTCTCACTGGTGAAAACAAGTTTCTAATTACACCGACTCTTTAATTAAAAAACAAAACAAAACAAAACCACAGGTTAAAGAAATTAAAGAAGTTGCCATATTTTACATATGCATCACCCACTCAGCTCCAAATGCCAATGGGTAATGCACTTTCTTTTACAGATTCGAACATTTGGAATTTTTCAGAATGTTTCATCAAGGACTTTATAAAGAGGAGTGCATGAGTTCTGTTAAATACAAAAGACTGATTACCACTTTAAAAAAAAAACAAAAAAACCTTCTTGTTTTGGCAACTGTAGCCAGGACCAGCCTATTCCACTCTTTCCCCACTCCCCATTCTGTGTTCATGCAAGGAACAGGTGAAACATGCTATGCACAGTCTGTTTTTTTGTTTTTGAACTGTAAAAGCTTAACATTTTCCTCTCTCTCTCTCTCTCTCTTTTTTTTTTTTTGCCAAGAATGGAAAAGGGAGGGGGCATTCCTTTGGAATGTGGCTTCTGTCTCCCATGGTAGTTCATTATCCATTCAGCAGAAGCATGGAGGTGGGGGAAGCACCAGATCTGTACTATCCAAGAAGCGGGGGAAGAAGAAACAGCAGCTACAATCTGAATCACAGATGGAAAATAAATAACAAAACTGAGGAGCAGAAAAGGGAGGAAATGATTTCCTCTACGTTAGGGGAAGCTTTTCAAACAGGTAAAGAGATGAAAGACAATTCACCCATGGGCTATGCAACCAATGATCCATGAATCACGGTTTCTAATTCTATCCCAGACAGAAAAGGAGGATCAGGCAAGCAGTGATGGAGAATGATGATATACTGTAATGAGGGATCAGTGGTGGAGAATGAAAACTACCGCTTGGAGAGAAATTCTTTCAAACTTGGACGGAGTCCTGGAGGAGATTTGATGCACCTGGAGGTTGCCCTTCGAGCTCCAGTAAACAGACTGTTTCCCTCCCTAGATAAGATCCAAGTCAATTAGGTGTCTGCTGATTTGAGATTCTCTCAAATCCACATTGAATTTGTGGACAATGGCTGAACCTTTATTCCAATGTAATTTAGAAAGAAGGGAGTTCATGTGATGCATGTTTTCCTAGGAGGTAAACAATAAGTGTTGCTTCACCTTCCAGACCCTTACCTGTAAAAGACATACAAAGGGTGCCACATCCACCGAGCTGCAAATCCAAGCATTGTTTTTATTCAAAGATATGAATTATTCTGCAAATATGCCAAGGAAGAAAATCTGCAAACTCATTGCAGCTGCACACTGAACATCCCAGTTTAAAGTGAAATAAGTAAAACTAAGAATTTTTCACTTATTATACTGATTGTAGAATTTGCATTCTCCTTGTGTGTCTACAAAACAGGAGCCACTTTTCTCTGCCTCCTTTTCCATGTTGTTTGTTGCTTGTCAATCAAATGTTTCATGTAAAGGCCATGTTCACTTGTTCAGCAGCCAGAACAAAGAAGAAACACAGCTAGTACGATGCATTTGAATTAATTATTATTGAGTTATATTTCTCTGCCTTTTACAAGATGCTGGGTTCCCCCTACTAAAATCCATGCTACGAATTGTTTGTTTTTAAAATTACAAACAATAAATGAGTAGCTGTTAAGATCCTGGAGGAAAATTATATTTACATTTTAATCAGCTTCTTTGAGTCACTTTCCGTTCCCATCATTCATTAGCAGGCATAGGTGCCAAAATGACTCTAATGCCTTATCTATCAGTGAAATAGCTTCTTTATATTGTGGGACACCTGAGATTTATTTATGGTATGATGGGTGCTTAAATCTATTATCACAAAAAACTCCAACATAATATATCAAGTTTCTGAACTCACATCTTTTGTTTGTTTGTTTGTTTGTTTCATTGATTGATTGATTTCAGCACTAATGAATCCAAATTCACTTGGGCAGTTCACACTATAAACAAAAAATAACACCCATATTATTTACCTGAAGATACAGAAAAATGCAACAAAATAAGATGGAAATCTAGACAACCAACATCAAAATACAGTAAATGCCAAATATGTCGGATAAAAGCTTCCATCCACTACCACCTCAATGGCTGGGAGAACAGCCAGGACTTCAAGACTTTCCAGAACACCATCAGAGTGGGAGTCTTCCAGATCTCAGAGGGGTGGGGTTGTCCTTCAGAGAGCAAATTAAATTAAATTAAATTTGGAGGTAAAATGTGTAGTAGGCTATCACTGCTATAATTGAATGGTGTCACCTTCTCCTTGTGCTGATCTTCCAGCCTCTCTCATATTATGAATATATGCATCATACAAACTGCATTAATGCTACACCGTGCATGATGACACCCACTAACTTTTCTCTCAAGCAAGACTGGCAAACAAACTTTTGACAATTTTCTCTGTAGCTTCTGTAGCACGAATGGCTAAACTGGTTTTTTGAAATCAATAGTATCAATATCCTGAATAAGTGTTCTCTTGTGGCTAAAGACCCACAAAATACATCTAAGCAAGATGGGAGGTATCAATAAAGGAAAATATTCATAGCTCAGGGTTGAAATGAGGGGGTCCTTGGTGCTCTCGGAGCTTGCTTGTTTTCTTGCAGATGCTTCATTATCCTAACAGCATTGATAATGTTACCTGGTTAGGGTAATGAAATGTCTGCAAGAAAATAAGCAAGTTCAGAGAGTACCAAAGACCCCTCGATGGGAAGTATATAAAACTGTGATGGCAAACCCTGGCACGTATGCTGGAAGTGGCACACAGAGCCATTTTTCCAGGCAATGCGAGCTGTCACCCATTTCACCTGGGGAATACGCGCGTGCCCCAGCTGGTGTTCAGGCCTCCGGTGCGCATGTGCGCAATTCAGGGGACCCAGCTGGTTTTCGGAGCTCTCCTGCGTATGCGCGCATGTTTGAGCAGGTGTGTGAGAGTACTGGTGCCCAGCGTGTGCATGCACAGACTGTGTTCGTGTGCATGCATTGCACACATGAAAACCACACACATGCACAGATGGTGCGATTGTATGCGTGGCGCACAGGGCACGTGCATGAAAGCTGCGCATGCACAGATGGTGTGGTTGCGTGCACAGTGGGGGTGCGTGCAAAAGCTGTGTGTATACATAGATGGTGCAGTTGCGTGCGCAGCATATGGGGAGGAGCTGTGCCTTAGCGCGGATGGCACGTGCATGCAAAGCGTGTAAAGCACGTACCTGTTCAGCACTTGGTGAGTAAAAGGTTCACCACCACTGATATAAAACAGGTGTATGGATTAATCTGTATTATTGAAACCCTGTTTTAGATTCTTGTGGAAGTACCCACCCACTTCCCAGAAAAACAAAACAAAATTTTGTACTGCCGCATGACCTATATCATGTTTTTCAATCAGAATGGAGGCACATTTGATCTCAACTGATTCCTTTTAAGTGCAGTAGCTCCATGTGAAAGCTGACCCATAATCATGTTAAGACAATGGCAGTGTTATACTGAAATCCAGGACACTGGTAAAATTTATGGCTTTCTCTATTTGCTGATGATTTTGTTCTTTCCTAAACTTGGCTAGGCATTTGACCAAATCCACACCTTTGCCAGGCCTTGCTGTTCCACTTACATCTGTTCATTGCATCTTCCCTGTCTTCTCTGAGTATGCAAGTAGAACAAGGAACTGAAATAGCATCTTCCATTCACCTGGCCTTCTCCCCAGAGAGAGAGGCTCTGAGTCACAGATGTGCTATTTTTCTCAGCTGGGGACCACACTTGACATTGAGTGCCATGGTGGGCAATGTGCTAAACAAAGTAGATGGGGCCAGGAAAACACTGTGGGCGAGGTAAGATCAACAGTTAAATCTAACATTTAATTTACAATTCAGGAAAAATAAAGTTGAGATGCTTAGTCCCAATGTGTTCCACAATTTTCTACTTCTGCCATATTAAAAACATACAATTTATTTTTCATCAGCTGATGTCTCCAAGTCACAATTGAAGGTCAGTTTAGACGCAAAGTATCGGCTCCTGCCACAACTATGGAAGGAGTCTGAATAGGTCACTCTTATCTCAAGAAAACATAGTGGTAGCCAAACACAACAACTAAGTCAACTAAGTCCCTGTGCTTGTCACCTTCTCCAGCCTTCCTTACAAACATACTTGTGCCCTTTTCCCTCTTTTGTTGCATGGACTTCATCATAACAAATCCTTTGCCACACCACCTAGCTGGTGAGCAACACCAGTGAAACAAGTGAGAAAAAAGACTCCTTGGGTGGGAACAGTCCCAATACCCCTCTTGGAGTGTGGCACCTGCTCTTCAGTTATCCGATAAAAAAAAAGCCTCTGAGCAAAATTCCTCAGCCACCCAAGAATGCCATTTGGAACAAGGGAGGAAAGGCTGGAGAAGAAAGTCATGCAAATAAATGAATGTTTGCACTCTCAAAACAAACGCATGTCCTATTCTTGTTCTAAAGGAAGAATATTTTCTGATCTTCTTTTAGGATTTAATTGAAGCCTGAGAAGCTGCAGATTCATGGAGACATGACTCTAGAATAAGAGGACATTCACATGTGTACATCAGAGGTGGGTTTCAGCAGGTTCTGACCAGTTCTGGAGAACCGGTAGTGGAAACTTTGAGTAGTTCAGAGAACCGGTAGTAAAAATTCTGACTGCCCCTGCCCCCATCTATTCTCTGCCTCCCAGGTCCCAGCTGATCAGGAGGAAATGGGGATTTTGCAGTAACCTTTCCCTGGAGTGGGGAGGGAATGGAGATTTTACAGTATCCTTCCCCTGCCACGCCCACCAAGCCATGCCCACCAAGCCATGCCACTCCTACCAAGCCACACCCACAGAACCGGTAGTAAAAAAATTTGAAACCCACCACTGGTGTACATCCCTTGGCCTCCTCATTAGTGAATTAGTTTTAAAACACAATACTGCTCATATGAGGATTTCAGTGAAATTCACTTTTTTGCTGTAAAATATTTATACAATAAATTTTGTATTATCAAATTGAATCAAACTCATGGGAAAAATACATACTAATTCTACTACATGGTAGTAACAATGTAATAGGCCAGATAACTTCCTGAAGCAGTTTTACTTAATGTTATAGTTCCAAATTGGCCGTTGTTGTTGTTGTTGTTGTTGTTGTTGTTGTTGTTGTTGTTCTTCTTCTTCTTCTTCTTCTTCTTCTTCTTCTTCTTCTTCTTCTTCTTCTTCTTCTTCTTCTTCTTCTTCTTCTTCTTCTCCTCCTCCTCCTCCTCCTCCTCCTCCTCCTCCTCCTCCTTCCTCCTTCCTCCTTCCTCCTCCACCTCCACCTCCATCTCTACCTCCACTTCCACCATTTTACCATCTAGTAGAAGTCACAGAAAATAATTAGCTTATTTTTTTACTTCAAAGACTGTCCTGCATAGCTACTGTTCAGATCGAGTTTCATTGCCACATAACATGAACCATAGTGTTCTGTTCAATAAAGTCTGTTCAACCAATATCCATGACCTGGGCATTTCAAGAGAAAGCAATCTCCATGCAGAAGACAATTAATGGCTATTAAATTTCTTGAATTCCATTACTTAGGAACTACATACATAGAACTACATCTTACCATCCTACAGTGGTAGGATGACAATAGCAAAAATAGCTTGAGCTCCCCTAGGCCTATGCAGTCCCTCCCTGATAAAAAGGGAAGAGGAAACTATGCATCCCCTTGTGGGCAGTGTGTGTACAATATGTGGGTGAGGGCAGTAAAGTCCAGTCATTCCCTTGTCTTTGTTAATATGCAATAGGAATCACATTATTATATGTAAAAGGCATTCTCTGCATTCCAAGGCTTGCAGCTCATAGTCAAGCTTTATGGTTCATTGGTCAGTCTGCTTCTGAAGAAACATTTCCATCCTAGGAGGAGAAACCTCTCTGCCTGCAATACGAACCTTTAAGACTAAGACTAAAACTTCCTGCTTCTAGCCTGCTGCCATTAACCAAGCACCAAACAACTCTCATTCCTTAGTATTATTTTTCTGCTTCAATAATGTCAGTGCCATGTTATCTTATTCTCACCCATTTGTACCAGAGGTGGGTTTCAACAGGTTCTGACCAGTTCTGGAAAACCAGTAGTGGAAATTTTGAGTAGTTCGGAGAACCAGTAAATATCACTTCTGACTGGCCCCGCCCCTATCTATTCTCTGCTTCCTGAGTCCCAGCTGATTGGGAGGAAATGGGGATTTTGCAGTATCCTTCCCCTGGAGTGGGGAGGAAATGGAGATTTTATAGTATCCTTCCCCTGCCACACCCATCAAGCCGCACCCACTGAACCGGTAGTAAAAAAATTTGAAACCCACCACTGATTTGTACACCTCTGCATCTCTGTTTGATACTACTTTTCTCAAGTTGGAGAAACAACACCTACTACATTTCTGTTCAATATACAGAGGAGTATGGAAGGTTTGAGGATAATCGCAAGTAACATGTTTTGTACTGTCAATGAAGTTTCCCCATTTGCCTTCCTTTTAATTTTCAAGTCCACCCTCCTGTTACTCCCCTTCCCCTAACCATTTCCAAAAAATAAAATCCATAACAAAAGGCAGAAAATGTGTTTTCTACTCTATGTTCTAGCTAAAACACACTAATTAAAGTTCAACCACGGATTGTTGTTGAAAGCAGCCAAACACATAATCGGTTTTGAGAGATAAAATATAAAATTGTGTAGGTTTAAGAAAAGTTGTTAGGGTTCTAACTTCTAACTTCTAACCAATGTAAACATGTTAAATTAATTCATTAAATATGTATATATTTGCATATAGCTAAAACTAAAAATATTTGTTTAAAAATAAGGAAAAAACATGATACATCATAACAGGTGCCACCTTAGAAGAAGCATG